TTTCGTCTTTTGTTATCGAGCTGCGACTCGACTAGGATTAGGGTTTTATGTTGATAACTCTTGCTGACGTCTCCTGCGGCCAAAGCCTTTGTAATCTCTTGGAAAGATCGCAACGGTCTTACGCGAATTCGAAATAATATCAACTTTCTTTATAAATTCGTTTTATCATGTTTTTCGTGTTTTCTGCATTTATTTGGTTAATTGTCGTTCGCTTCCGCAGAGATCCGGGTCCTCTGGAAAATTAGGGTTTTCCTAAGTTTCCTTATTTTACGGAAATCGACGGTGTGAATTTCGGTTCCCACAACAACGATCAAGTATCTTGTAAGGACCAAAGAACTTAGGGGCCAGCTTATTGTTTGATCTCACCACCGTAGACTGCTGTCTATAAGGTTGCAGCTTAACAAAGACATAGTCACCAATCTCAAAGCTCCTCTCAGTACGATGTAAGTCTTCGTTCTGTCTCATCCGATGCTGAGCTCTAACTAAATGGAACTGCAGCATCAATATCATATTCTCCCGTTCCTGCAAAGAGCTAGCTACCACCTCAACCTTCGACTCTCCCGGTAGATAAGGAAGATGAATAGGTGGAGGTCGACCATACACAGCTTCAAATTGTGTAACTTGAGTCGCCGTATGAAAAGTGGTATCATACCAGAACTCAGCTAAAGGAATCCACTTACTCCACAAATGCGGCCTCTCACTTGTCATACACCGTAGATAAGTTTCCAAACACTTGTTAACAATCTCAGTTTGACCATCACTCTGAGGGTGGTAAGCTGTAGAGTAGTTCAAAGCCACACCCTGCAATGTAAAGAGTTCTCTCCAGAAATCACTCAAAAAAACACTGTCTCTGTCACTAACAATCGACTGAGGCAGTCCATGAAGCCGGTATACTGTGTCCAGAAAGACTGAGCCACTGTTGCTGCAGAATAAGGATGACTCAGTGCCATAAAGTGAGCTGCTTTGCTTAAACGATCCACAACAACAAAGATCACTGATTTCACAAAAGACTTAGGAAGACCGTCAATAAAATCCATAGAGATGTCAGACCATATAGCTGTTGGAATGGGTAATGGTTGCAATAAACCAGGGGAAGCTACTGTCTCATGTTTGCATTGTTGACAAGTTGTACAGCTTCGGATGTATTGTTGAATATCCTTACTCATTCCTTTCCAATAGAACAAACTCTTGACTCTCTGATGGGTTGCATCTCGGCCAGAATGTCCTCCACTACATGACTTATGCAACCAATCAAGTATAGTGATCCGTAATTGATCATTAGCAGGAACCACCAGCTTACTTTTCCTGCGTAATGTGTTATGTTTCCATGTAAAATGCTTCTTAGAATCCGGTTTCTTCTTCAACACTTCAATCAACTCCTTAAGATGCAACTCTGATTCATAACAGTTCTGTATCTGCTTCATAAGATCACATTCTGTCACAGACAATGTCATTCTCAAAACCTCCGATCCTTCAACTCGTGAGAGTGCATCAGCAGCCAAATTATCTTTCCCTTGGCGATACTGGATCTCATAATAAAATTCAAGCAGTTTTGGCAACCATTGCTGCTGAATAGGTGTATTAAGCCTCTGTTCAAGTAGATACTTGAGACTTCTTTGATCAGTTTGAATGATGAAATGATCATGAAGCAAGTAATGCCTCCACTTTTGCACAGCAAATACTACCGCCAATAATTCTTTTTCATAGATGGATAAGTGAACCTTCTTACCCTTCAAATGACGACTTATATATGCTAGAGGATGTCCTTCCTGCATCAATACCGCACCTATGCCACTACCACATGCATCCGTCTCTACTACAAATTGCTTGTCAAAGTTCGGAAGAGCTAACACTGGAGCTTTGCACAACACTTCTTTCAATTCTTCAAAAGCTCTTTGTGCCTCATCATTCCAAACAAATGCTTCTTTCTTTGTTAAAGCGGTCAACGGTCTTGCAATACCCCCAAAACCTTTAACAAATCTTCTGTAGTAGCCAGCTAAGCCTAAAAACCCTCTCAGCTGTTTCAAGTTCTCAGGTTTAGGCCACTCTCGTACTGCTTTTATCTTATTAGGATCAGTAGAAACACCCTTAGCTTCAATGTAATGACCCAAATACTCCACTCTTGTTGTAGAAAACTCACATTTGCTTTGCTTTGCGTATAATCTGTTCGTCCTCATGAGGTCAAAGACCAACTGCAGATGATGAACATGTTGATCAACAGAGTTGCTATAGACCAATATGTCATCAAAAAAATGAGAACAAACTTCCGCATAAACTCTTTGAAAACCGAGTTCATCAAGTACTGAAAAGTTGCAGGGGCGTTAGTCAATCCAAATGGCATGACAAGGTATTCATAGTGTCCACTATGTGTCTTAAAAGCCGTCTTATGAACATCAGCAGGACTCATTCTCACTTGATAATAACCTGCTCGCAGAAAATCTTTGAATATATGACTGAGCCTCCAAGTTCGTCCATCAAATCTTCTATTAGAGGAATGGGAAAACGGTCCTTTATAGTCATGCTGTTGAGGTTTCGATAGTTCACACAGAGTCTCCAAAAATTATCTTTCTTCTTGACAAGCACCACTGGTGAGGCGTATGGACTAGAACTCGTCTGGATTGTGCCTGCATCTAGTAGACTTTGCACCATCTTGTCAATATCTGTTTTCTGATATAATGCATATCTGTAGGGTCTCTGATTCACCGAGTTTGAACCTTCTAGCAAAGGAATGTGGTGATCATGCTTGTCTCTATGAGGAGGTAGTTCTTTTGGTTCCTCAAACAGGTCTGCATACGACTGTAATAATGCATCTATATCAGGACAACTTCTCTTCTCCACTCCCACTTCCAATGAATACACACCGGGCCCTTCTTCTATCTCTTTTTGCTGAACATATATCATTGATATGTTAGCTGTTTCCCTCTGTAACTTCAGCTTCTCAGACTTAACTTCCTTCACACCAGTATCCTTAATTCCATGTAAAACCACATTTTTGTTAAGGTAACGGAACCTCATCTCAAGCTTCAAGAAGTCCCACGTTATAGGTCCAAATAAAGATAACCATTGCACTCCCAAGACCATATCACAATTACCCAAGGGAATTAACATGATATCCTGATTGAAGGTTGCGTTCTGGAAAGTCCACTGAAACTTTTCCACTCTTCCCTTCACCTTTAACTTTCCCCCATCAGCCACTGCTACTCGTGTCATTGTAGGTGGTTTAACAACACACTGTAACCTCTCTGCAACTTCAGGATCCATGAAATTGTGTGTGGACCCTGAATCAATAAGAATGTACAAGACCTTCTTCCCATGTACTCCTCGAACCTTCATTGTTCTATAATTCTCAGTAATTCCAGCTACTGCGCTTACTGAGATATAAGCTACATCACCTTCATCCTCCTCAACTCCCTCATCTGCTTCAAAAAACTCATCATTGTCATATATCTCCATCGAATACAACTGAGTTTTTTTATGCTTCAGATAATGGCCAGGAGTATACTTCTCATCACAGTAATAGCATAGACCTTTTGCACATCTATCACTCATTTCTTCCAGAGATAGAAACTTCTGAGGTTGCTTCACCAACTCCTTAGGTCTATCATTACTCTCATTGTTCAGCTTCTTGGTTTCATACGGTTTTTGCAACAATCCTTTACTCGTATTAACAGTGNATGCTTCAGATAATGGCCAGGAGTATACTTCTCATCACAGTAATAGCATAGACCTTTTGCACATCTATCACTCATTTCTTCCAGAGATAGAAACTTCTGAGGTTGCTTCACCAACTCCTTAGGTCTATCATTACTCTCATTGTTCAGCTTCTTGGTTTCATACGGTTTTTGCAACAATCCTTTACTCGTATTAACAGTGCTGTTTGTCTTCCAACTCTGTGAAGTTTTGCGAGGATGAGCTGTTTCATAAAGCCTTCCTAACAACAAACACTCCCGAATAGACTTTGGTTGAAACATTCTGATATGCATGTGCGTATCAGTGTTCAATCCAGCAAGGTAAGCACTGACCAAATAGCTCTCACTCAGCTTCACTCTGTTGCGTATAAGCTCAAACTTTGAGTGATAATCATTGATACCTGCAGTTTCTTGTAACCTTTTCAATTCTGCAATTGGATCATCCAATACATCTTCAACCTCTCCTTCAATAATATCTTGTATTGTTCCCAATCTTCAATCACATAAGCATCTTGTTCTGACTGAGCTAAAGATTGGTGCCAAGCTGAGGCTATCTGATCATAATGTATAGACGCTAATCTTACTCTCAGATCCATTGGAGTATTATCAATTGCGAAAAATTCTTCAACCTTAAACAACCATTCCTTCACATTATCACCGTTGAAACTCGGAAAATCAACTTTTCCCAATCTCGTCATACCGGTATAGTGAGGATGATTACCTTGACGGTGGCGATGAAAGGTTTCCATCAGTGGATTTTTCACTCGTCGAAGGATTCAACGGGTTGTTATTCGTCATAAGCTTGAATGTCTCAATCAATTCTCTCACGCTTTCATCGGTTCGTGCACTGCGCTCGTTTTGAATCTCTATCGCCTTCTCTATCGCCTCAAAACGACTCAATACAGCACTGTCAGTTTCACGCGCCGCCGTACTTTTCAGCAATGCTTGGGCTCTCGTCTCCGCCATTGATTCCGAGGACGCGATTGGCTCTGATACCTTTGTAACAGTAAACGTAAAGCTCAATTTCAATTGTATTAATCTCGATTCAAAGTAGAATTACAAAGAATCGATCTCACCAAAGCCAAGAGTTTACAAGTAGAAACAACTCTAAAACTTTAAGAGATAAGTCCAAGAACACAGAGAAAGATTCAGGAAAATTACACACACTTTTCGAATATCTCCAAATGACTTCCTTCTCACGCTTTTATTCTCTCTGTTTCCGTTTGTAACAAACTCCTCCAACTGCCTTCTAATCTTCTGACACGTGTCTTCTTTATTTCATATCTCCCACCATCGCTTTTTCCTATAGCAATGTTCCTGAGGAGGATGATGGGAGGAAGAGGTGGTGGTACAGAGTATGAAGATGATGATAAAGTTGGTAGGAAGAGGAAGAGACAAGTAGTAGTGGCAGTGAGAAGGAAGGAAGGAAGGAAGGAGAAGGGGCATAAGCTCCCAAGCCGCGGGGAGAGGAAGTCTGAAGAGATTGATGAGATGTGGAAACCAACTCTTCTTTAGATTGCATTGTATCAATATTTTGTTTTCACTTCTGATTACAAAGAAAAAAGGGGTTTGGATTCTGTTATACAATGAAGATTAGGAAGATGATAATTTCATTGACAATACTGGTTTGGATCCTTCTGATTGGTATGGAGGTGATGCTGGAGACCGCTCTCCAACCCATTATCTTCAGGTAGGAGTAGTGTTATTCGAATTTGATCTCTGAATCTAGCTTTTTGTTTGATTATATTTAATCCTTTTGGTTATGGACATTTCAGGGTGATGATTAAGTAAATAACCTTTTCAAAATGGGAAAGAAAAAGAAATCCTGCGGGAATTGCGTTCTTGTGATGGATGAGAGCTTGAGGTCTCACTGCCGAGGAAGGAAGATGCAGAACTTAATAGACATGGGAAGGCTGCTATCAACAAGCTTAAGAAACTTTCCCTTCTTACCCATGTACTTGGAAAGTAAGTTACTATTTTTCATTTTAACAAACAATATGTTTTTGTAATACTGCTTAATTCGTCTTTTATCCAGGAAGCAGCTTCAAACAGAATTCTTGGACCATGGAGTTGTAACTCTGTTGAAGAATTGGCTTGAGTTGAGCCTCTACTGGATGGAAGCTTGCTAAATATAAAACATTCGTGCAGCTATTTTAAATAAATGTGTGAGCAGCTGTCTCCAATTCCCTTAAACCAGTTCCACTCCTTTGCTTACTGATGTATGTTGGATTTTGCAGTCTCGTCCAATTTTTCACTCACCTGATGCATAACAAGCTTCTTTTCTTGTTCTATTCGTTTTTTACATAGACATATCAACAAAGCTTCGACAATGGAGTCTAGAGATGGTGACTTTGACTTAGATGTCCGATATGGAAGAACACTTATGAATTTTGATAAGCGCACTTGATAAATAAGGCAGGCAGGCAACGTAAATCTGGGCTGACTTTGGGTCAGAGTTCTAGGGGAGATTCGTCCAGGCAAATGACCATGATACCAGAAGCAACTCCGTTGGACTTTCTGATTCGTCCTCAATCACCCTGATGTGGTCAGAGCCGTGCCAAACTGGTCTGGTCACTCAGGAGAAGGTAAAACACCTCTGTACCATTAATTAAAATTTTCACTACCATCAACTCATTTTCTGAAGGGTTAAAAATACCATCTACACTAGCTACCAGTTTGATTTGAAAAACATTAATCCTTGCTCATTCACAACCTTGGAACACAATCTGAGAACTTATAAGCCACAGTTTATAAACAGACAAACAAAAACTTAATCTGAATTCTTCCTTAAGCTGGCTCTTCTCTCTTAAAAAACAAATATTGCCAGATGGACAAGAAACTGAAGCAGCTAAAAGAAACAATGAAGAAGCGTTTGCAAGCCGTGGAAGGTCGGGGTATGATCAAGTGCCTGTAGAATAGAGTTTGCAACCAGACCAAAGACTTGAGGCATTGGGATTATACTTGTATGCACTCTGAATGATTTGCTTTAAAGTGTCTAAAGTAATGCGAAGTGAAAGAGGCACCAGGTTCCTCTTGAGAGGAGAATAGAATATACAAAGGTTATGCTTTCGAAGTTCCTTAATTTTGTTTCATAACTTGATTACCTAAATATATATATCCAAACCATTTATTAGATTAAGACATGTAGCATAGTCAGATTATGTTAATGCCGCCCATGCATCTTCTACTTCAAATCTTGAAGCTACAAAAACTTAGTAACAACAAAAAATATCTAGATTATACTCCCTAAAATTGCTCTCATCTACTGACTCCAAATCTCGAAGCTGCAAAAACATATGAACCAACAACGCAGACAAGAACAGCAAGAACCAAAGAGAATAGCTGAAAATTTGCAAGAAATTCTCCCGAGACAACGGAATCAACTGATCTGCAGACCACAGAGTTCTCTTTCAAACCGCAGCCTTGAGGCATCATAGGGCCATAAAGAGTGAAAGCCGTCTGATAAAACCAAAGGCCTTGAAGTGTCATTGCAATGCCATTGCATAGATCTACTGGGAAGCTTGTTGGGCAGACTGCTCCAGCGATCGAGGAGATGACACAGAGACCGATGAGAAAGACGAGGAGGAGATGGTAATAACCTTCAAGACCTTTGTGGCTTGTGGAGTGGAAGAAGAAAAGAAGACCTTCTGCTGTAAAAGCTGTTGCTGCGATTAGACACAGAGCTTCTTGTGGCAAAGGCAGCAACCTATGAACAAATAAGAAGTTCAAAGCTATATAACTTTGCATTGCCACATGAATGGTAATCATTACATAAACAAGATACCTCGTTTTCTCGGAGAGCAGAGCGATGAGCCCGAGGATGAAGAACATGAGAAGCATCCCTGAATGCTCAAAGTCGTTCATGTGGGAAGGATTCAAGACACCATTGACAAAGAACTTGAGATGAGTTGAGTAGAAGAACTCGATGCACAAGTCAATGAATGAGCCAATGGCGACAACGTAAAGCTCCAAGTACTTGAACCTATCGTTGAAGCCAGGGACAGGGTGCCAAACTCGAACACGAAATGAGTTAGGGTTGAATACGAACCCAACCACAGATCTCCAGATGTGCCAGACTCCAACCACAAGGAACAATGTACCTGGCAAGGCATGGCCTTTGAAAGAACCCATCTCTCTGAAGAGAGAGCAAGTGAGATTAGTTTGTTGTAATCTTGCAAAGCTTAAGATTCGAAAGAAAAAAAATGATACTAAGAATAGATAAATATTCAAGGCGAGAATATAGGTGATAACCTGTAAGTAATAGCAGATCAGGGTTTTTTTTCTTCGTTTTGTGGAGATTTGGATCAAAGATAATCCCAACTTCTTAGCAAAGCTAGATTCGTCGATGAGAACGAGAGAGAGAGAACAAAAAGTCGGTCAACGTGTGTTAAGCTATTGAGAAGAAAGCTACGCGCTATGAGAAGAGTGAAAGCCTGAAGAAACTGAGAAACAGAGCAAAACCCCAGATACGCAAAAAATTAGAAACTTTTCCCCAGAAAGAAAAACTTGCATCGAAATGGAAAACGGATGTAATCTTGTTTAAAAGGATCTCTTAAAAAATAAGAACTTTTGCGTTTTGGGAGTACAAGTGAAAAAGGTCAGCAATAATAAGACAATCATAGAGGAAAGATATACATTATTTCTCACAACTCACATGGAAGAATCTGATCTTCTCATTTAATTTTCATTGGATAATCATAACTCCAAATAATTTGAAGAAGATTAAATGATTAATCATGAAAGTCTATGGAATTGATCGGTAACCATGCGGAATGGCGGAATGACTTATGAAACGCGATTCCGCAAGAATTTTACCAATCAACAAAATATTGCGGAATAATAAAAAAACACAAGTTTACATTTTTGCTGATAAAAATATAAAGAGAAATTTTATTAAGTGGAAAAGTGAGTTTAAGTAGATTATGGTGGAAAGATTTACAAATTAATATTTTCATATTATTAAATTATATACGGCCCATTATATACTAATACTATCTTAAAATAGAAAATACATATCAATAATTTTTAATGATAAATAATTATGTTGTAAATAAAGTTGTATTATAATTTGTATATTATAAAATGTCAATCTATTGTTAAAATGTATTGAATGATAAGCTAGATAACAATAATAAAAATAAAAGATTTTAATAAATTTAGTTGTTTTCACATTTGTAATAATTAGTTTAATTATTACTAGTTGTTTTTATAACAAATTAAATACCATATAAAATAGTTTAATCAATTTAATATATATTCCGTCATTCCTCAAATTTAAAAAATTTTTACGACTTAATTATTTTTTTCCGCAACTTAACTATTATTTCCGCGATTCCGCGATGGTTACCAATTGGAGCCTAAATAAAACACACATAATTATAACAACAATTTTTCTTATTACTTTTAGAAACTTCTCAAAAATACAATATCAATGTTTCTCTATTAGGTTTTATGTAGAAGTGGGCACGGATCGGATATCCGAGTTTTTTAAAGGTATTTGTAATTTGCTTTGAATGTTACGGATATCTAATTTTCGTATTTGCTTTGCTTCGAAAAATACGGATATCGGTAAATAAATAGATATTTGCGGATATTTACGAATATTTACGGATATCTCATTCATTTTGATTAATGCAAATAATCTTAAAATTTTGATACAAATTTTCTTTACAAAAATATTTTTTGCATGATATATAAAATAAAAATTAAAAGAACAAGTGAATTTACATATTTTGTCATTTTTTTAATTTCAAGTTAAAATTATAATAACACAAAATTTAAGGAAAAATATAATTGTCATAAATGTTTTCTCTCTTTTTATGTAACAATTTTATATAAGTAATATTGTGAACAAAATTGTTCAAAATCATGGGCTAGAATAATAATTATATAATTTTCTATATTTAAAATTTTAAATATAATCAAGATATACATATATTTATATATTTCTGGATCGGATCGGATATTCGCTTCCCAAAATTTTAATATTTGTGATTTGATTCAATTTTAACGAATATTGATTTTTAGTATTTGCTTTGATTCGAAATTTTACGGATATTCTGAATTTTCGGATCGAATTGAAACAAATAACGAATCAAATAAAAATTTAACAGATAAAATGTCCAGATCTTTTATGGAACATCTATTAGTTTTTATAGAATACTAGGATTGGTCCGCCATACGGGCAGCGGAAAGTTATAAATTTATATTAATTTTATGAAACATTTTTTAAAACCTTGTAGATTAAAAACGATATTATAAATAACTAAATAAATAATGAATAAAATTCTGAGATTTTATTGCTATTTTTAATAATCATTTTTGGTTTGAATTAAAATGACGACAATGTTCACTATTCTCTATTTTCCCGAGTAAATAATTTGTATCTTCTTTACATATAAATTATTTAATGTCTTTCTAAGTTGATTTTCACTTTGGTTATTGCTTTTAGCTTTAAGATTTGGATGTAACTAATGTAGTCGTATGATTCTATTGTTATTTTGTTTTGGTCGTCATTCATGAATTATGATTAGTTTGAATAACTTCTTCTTATGCTCAGATTTCTTGTGCACAGTTTGGTGCTTGTTATTGATTTGGAATGTAGGTGGTATTAGTATAGATCCATTTTTAAAAACTTTCTAGACGCTAGTCGGGCGCTCGGGGTAGGCCTAGCGCCTAAAAAATAAATTGGGAATTAATCCGAGACTAGGTATTGTACTTTTATTATATTTATAAGTGTATACATATTACATATGCGTAGTATGCCAAGGGAATTCTTGTCTCCCAGTGATACAGAGAATTATTAATATGTTGCACAACCTGGCTTCGAGCCCCTCAGTGCATTTATTATTTTCGATTTATATTCTTCAATACCAAAAGTCCCACATCTACTAAATCAAAAAAAAAAAGAAGCGAACATTTAATCTATATAATGGGAAAATAGCATAAAAAACCTTCAAAGTGGAACTCATTATCATTTTAAACCTTGAACTTATTTATCTAGCATATTAAACATCTAACTTGATTTTTGTATCACAAAAAACCTTCAACTTGGCTTACTTGTTCAAAAAGTTAAAATTGTGACCTATTAACCTACAATAGCAGGTCACATGTTGATTTTTTTTATTTAATAAATAAATACAATTAACAATAAAAATCTAAATAAAATTAGAAACTTTAGAAAATTTTCTAAAAATTAAATTTAATAAAATAAAATTATCTTCTTAAAATATATATATATATATATTTTAAATGTAAGTTTTGCAAAAAAAAAATTTAAGTACAAAACAATTCAAAATCTTAATTAAAAAAAAACAAAATATTTTCTTAAGAATTTACAAGTTTTTTTTATTTTTATTCTGAACGAAATTTTGTGAAATATGAATGTAATTTTTTTATAAAATTATACAAAACTCTAAAATGTTATTTAAAAATAAATAGTCTGGATATACAACCAGTAAAATGAGAATTTTTGTCCTATCACAATAAATAATAATGTTTTGTAAGTTTTAAAGCATTTAATTTTGTTGATATCTTTAACGATGATAATTTCTTATATACATATAAAAATGATTTTGCCACTATTGTCATTATCAATACAACCAAATATGTTATTCTTAATTATGATATGACAAAAAAGAGTGTTTAAGTTAATGGTGATAATGTTTAAAATTATTTATTTTTGTGAAAATATTTAATAGCTTTTATATGATTTTTATTTTTTTTTTAGTTTGCAAAATTTCAATTTAAAAACTTTGAAATTTTAAGAAAATAATTTGGTTTTTATTAAATTCAATTTTAGTTGTAATTTTCTAATTTTATTTAGGGTTTTTATTGTTAATTGCATTTATTAATTAAATAAAAATTTTAAAAACTCAACATGTGACCTACTATTGCAAGTTAACAAGTCACAATTTTAAATTGATGAACAAGTAAGCCAAGTTGAAGGTTTTTTGTGATACAAAAGTCAAGTTGAATGTTTAATATGATAGTTAAATAAGTTCAACGTTTAAAGTGCTAGTGAATGCCACTTTAAAGGTTTTTATGCTATTTTCCCTCTATATAATAGGTCTTCTACATTGTAGTGTTAGTTAAGATATTAGGCTATATTGAGGACCCAACGAATATCTTAAAAGTTTAAGTTTGACTCAAAAAATTGGGCCGATTATTTGCTTCCCGATTTTTTTAACCGCCTGGACGCCTGCGTTTTAGAAGAGGGATATAGATAGTATTTATCTATAAGTCATATTATCATAAGATAATGATTATATATATCTAGTCATTATTTATAGATTCGGTCTTATCTATAGACCAAGATGTTGTATATATACCTAACGTATGACATGAATGAAGGCATCCTTTGACAATACTTCCATATGGTATCATAGCGGATTTAAGACCTAAGACTATTATTTATCTTTCTCTTCCTTCTCGTCAAATTCTTCTAACTTTTCTATCACATCAAGTCTACTGAATCTTCTTCCTCTCACACCTTTTGAAACTACGGTTGTGTTTAACATCACAAACTACGGTTGTCTTTAACATCACAGATCCGAAAACAACTCTCATCTCTCTTAACATGTCAAACATAACAAAGCTGACAGCCAATAACTACATCACTTGGCGCCTTCAAATCAGTGCTCTCCTTGAAGCTCATGAGCTTTACTGCTTCATCTCTGACGATGATCAATCACCACCTGCAACAATCACAACAACAGAAGGACTACACGAACCTAACCCCAACCTTGCAGCATGGAAACGTCAAGACAAACTTCTATACAGTGCATTTCTTGGCACCTTGTCTCTTGCAGTTCAGCCTATTGTTGATAGAGCTAAAAACCCCTGTGAACTATGGGAGATATTATACCGTACATACGGTAAACCATCAGGACACATCAAGCAAATAAAACAACAACTGAAGCTAGACCAATGACAAGGGAACCAAGACCATCAATGAATACATGCGTGGTATCATTGAAAAAGCTGATCAGCTTGCTTTTCTTGGCTCTCCTCTGGAACATGAAGACTTGCTAGATTACATCACAGAGGGTCTTGGTGAAGATTATAGAGCAATTGTTGAGATGGTCAACGGTAAAGATACCCTAATTACAACTAATGAACTCCATGAAAAAAACTCATTAATCGTTAGAATACTTTGAAAATCGCTGGATCTAGTGATGTCACTCCACCAGTAACAGCTAACTCTATTAATGTTCTTCCTCAACAGTCAACAACATCACACAACTCATCTCGTGGTGGCTCAAACTCAAACCGTGGAGGCTTTCGTCAATCACGTCCTTATCTTGGAAAGTGTCAAATTTGTGGTGTTCAAGAACATGGAGCAGTATCAGCGACAATCAATACCCATGCCTCATGCTCTACAACAATATCCTCAGGGAATGCAGCAGTATTGTCAACCTCGTGGACAAGCATCATGGGTAGCACCTCATCTCCCATTACCAACACGACAATGGCAACAACAAGCTCATCATGCAAAAATGTCTTCCCCTGACCTATCTCCATGGCTTCTCGACAGTGGTGCTTCTCATCATATTGCCAGTGACTTCAACAACTTGTCA